CACTTCAATCCAGGGCATTTATAAATTACCCAGTGGTATTTTGTTATAGCAGCACATACAGACTAAGACAAACACCATATGAAGACGAAGGCAGTAGTAAGGTGATGCTTCTACATGCCAAGGAACGCCAAGCCTGCCAAAGATTGCCAGCAAACCACCAGAAGCTAGGAGAGAGGCTTAAAACAGATTCTCCCTCACAACTCTCAGAAGGACCCTGCTGACACCTTGATCTTGACTGCTAGCCTCCAGAAGTATGAGACAATAAATGTCTGTTGTTTAAGACACCCAGTTTGTGGTACTTTGTTACGGCAGCCCTGCAAACTAATACACCATTTAAATGCTGATGAGTACCAAGTCTCTAACTGTAATCTTGAAGCCCCAGACCACTTCAGGAATTGAACATCCTACTGATTTATGCCTGGGTCTTAATTTATAAAGGTGACTGAGTGACAACATGGAGAGGTCAATGCCATTGAAAGAAAAGTTTAATGTTATTCATAGTTCCTCTAGAAACAAGAGGCACAGCAAGCCTTGCATGGCCATGGGGAGATGGATGCCAGTGTCACTCAGGAGGCAGGAAGTAGCACAGGGAAGACATAGGCCACAGCCTTTATTGGGGTTTCCATGGGAAAAGCAAGGCAGGGCAGAGTAAACAATTTGGGATTGGCTAATTTGAATAATTCCAGCGGGCTCTGGAGTATAGGGGCTGTTCCTAGTTGCCTGGTACCTGGCCCTAGGTTAATTTAGGGCAGTGGAAATACTGGCTTGGTGTGTGAGAGTTAGATAAAGTGGGTAGTTCAGCGTATGGGCTCTGGATTGCAGGGGAGATGTAAACAACTCTGGCCATTAGTTCGGCCTTGTGATTAATGGATGCCAAGTAGACAACTACAGAATCTAAGAAAACACAGTTGAAACACCTACCAACTCCCCAACCACCCCTACAGGTCTGAGTCTGAATGCATCATCCTCTTCCTCAAACCATCCCCTACCCTGGTTTCCTTATACCAGGGATGGACAGCCCCGAATCTGTGCAGTCAGAAACCTGGGGGTCATCCACATACCCGCTTTCTGCACCCCCCCCCCAACCTACTACCAAGTCCTGTCAATTCTGCCTTCTCTCTTAAAGCTTCATTCCTCTTCCGGGCTGTCCCCAGTGCAGGCAGCTATCTCCCGTGCCTGGAGTTCTGTTAACAGCCTCCCTATCAGCCTGTCTCCTGTTTTTATCCTCCTCCAATCCATTCTCCAAGTAGCCTGAAAGATTCTTCTAAACCCCAACTGATCAGGTCACCCATTCCTTCTTAAAACTCTTTGATGGCTTTCCTCTGCCCTTAGGATACACTCTAACATCTTTTATGTAGCTGCTCACAACCTGGTCCTTGACCACAAGATGCTCCAGCCACAGCAAATTTCTTTGGGCTCCTTTAAGGAGACTCATCTCCAGATTTTTGCTTACGCTGTTCCCTCTCCTCAAACAGTACTCCCACTCCCCACCTAACACTTCCTTGGGAAACTCCTACTCATTTTTGGTCACCTCCCCACCATGAAGTTTGGACACTCTGGCAGTGCTCTCATGGCAGCTAGTACTTTCCCTTGTCCAGCACTTCAGTCTATTGCAGGGGTTCCACCCTGATGACACATTTGAATCTCCTGGGGAGCTTTATATCATATTGATACACAGGTTCCTCTCGAGACCAACTCTATCAGGGGTGGGGCCTCAGCACTGGTAGTTTTTAAAACTCCCACATGATTCTAATCTACAGTCAAGGTCAAAAGCCTCTGCTCTAATAGACAACTTTATGCCTATATCCCAGTGAAGACAGGAACAGTATCCTGAGGTATCTATGTCAAGTGCTTGGTACACAGGTGGTGGTGAGTAAATTATCTGCTGTACAGTGACTGTGGCAGGGGTTGTATGAGACAGCATAGAGTGATGCTGCAAGAGTGACTTCAACCTGTGTGTGTGGAATGCTGCCACTGAGCTGCTGAAACCCGTGTGACAGTGTGGGGTATCCTATTTGGACAGCAGTTGTGTGAGGGTCACTGAATGGCTGTACCGTGTGACACAGCAGATCGCCATAGGAGTGGCTGTGTCCTTGTGCGACTGTGAGTGGCAGGGGGACTGATGAGGCTGCTCATGGCACTAACGAGCCGGGCTGGCACATACCCACAGGCCAACTAGCCAAAGTAGAGGAGCTGGAGCCAGTCAGGAGCCTGGGAGTCAGAACTCCTCCAGCACAAGATGCTGAGCTTCTCCCTGAGCCCCAGAATGGCACCTGGGCAGAGGTCTTTCTGCTCTTGGTGTTGCCCTCTACTACTTGGGCTACTACTGGGCATGTGTGCCCCACGTGGGTGTGGGTCCGGCCCTCTGGCCGGCGGGCTTGGGACACTCAGGTGCAGGGGGAGCTTCTAGCCCTTTGCGGGAGCTGGGATGGTTGGGTCTCCCACCCCAAGTGAAATGTGCTATTGTCACCTAATAGAGTTGGCTCTTTGCCTTCCTATATCCTCTGCACCCCACATGTTCCCCATGCTAGCTGGGCCATTCAGGCTCCAGAGGGGTGCTGCTCTTTATTATGTGGACAGACATTTGGGGAAAGGCAGTGTGGAAGTCATCCTGAGGTGTCAGAGATGTGTACACTATCTTTCCTTTTCTTTTTAGGTGGTCCAGCTGAGTTTCTCATTCGCTGCACTGAATAAAGGAACCGGAGGCCAGGGGGTGTGGCTAATTCCCACCACCACCTCCACTGGCTTAGTAGGGCTTCGCTTTCCTTAATAACTGGCTGAGGTCCCCTGCCTAGCTCAGGACTGATGGATAACCCTAACTGTCCTTGCTCATCCAGCCCTGTTATAAGATCTAAGCTCTCCATGTATAGTATGGTAAGGAAGTCTGAAGAGGATGATTTTTATGAACTTGGAGATTTTCTCACTGAAATTTAGATAAAATATGTAATTTACATATCCAGGAAAAGCTAAATCTTTGAATCTTCATTGAACTCTGTTCTAGGTAAATGAACCAACTAAGAAACCTATTGATTCAAATACTTTAAAGAGATCTGTAGGAGATTTTAGTGTTACCTAGACTTTTCTATATTTTCAGAGCCTTCTACATTAGCATGTATTGTTTATAAAATAAGTCTTTCTTAATAAAACAATTAAAAAATACAAACCTCATAATACTGTGAAAGCCTCACCAGATAGTGGAAGTCATTTCAGGTCAGAACTGTCCTGAACTAATTTTCCTTTGCTTGCAACCAGCCATACAGAAGTCAGGGCATCTGCCACTTTATACTCCAACCCCTTTCTTGACTTCCAAATACTGCTTAAAGTGCAGGAAAAGTGCCATTCTGGAGGCCCTGAGGACACGGAATTTGGACTGTTCTTCATGGTAATGGATTGATACTTATTTATCCACAGCAACTGAAGGCATATTACTAATTAATTCTCAGGAGTAAGTCAAGAGACACTTTGCGAGAGTTAAAATGGAACTAATCCACATAAATCAACCTGTGAATTAATTGAATAGTCTTGTTCTACACTACCTAGCTGTTTGACCAAGGATTTCATACATTGATAGCAACTCAAAATCTTGGCAATTAGGAGGAAATATAGTGCAGTGACTAAACAACACAAGCTCTACAGTCAGATAGACCTGTGTTTGAATCTCCAGCTCTTCCATTAACTAGCTTTGGCAAGGTGACCTTTGACAGAGTTATTCAACATTCAAACGTATTCACATAGGGGGATCACAGTACCTATCTCATAGAGCTGTTGTGAAAATCACAAGATAAAATCACGTAATGTGCTCGGCACCATGCCTGGAACATGATGAGTGCTCAGCAGACTTTACGTACAAGTTTTAGTGCCGATATTATAATTATTATTTCTGCTTTGCCTCTTGCTTGCTGTGTGACTTTGAGCAAACCACTTAACCTCTATGTCATAATTTCTTCATTAAAAAATCTCTTGTAAGGTCAGGCTTAGGCCAGTGCCTGCACATAGCACACAATGACTCACAGCTGTTATTATTCCAGGGCTGAAGGACCAGAGTCCAAGACATATCTCCCAACAGTCACACTATCAACTTGCCCTCTCTAGTTTACCATTTAACTAGCCCCTTTTGAATATCTGGACTGTAGAAGAGAGAGGAATCTGGGCTTCAAGTTCCTTAGGGCCTGCTACAGAAATGCAATTTCTATTCTTGAGCCTGAGGTCTTTTGGCTTCGTATGGCTTACTCTTCTATAAGCCTTCTATATGGCTAAGCTGTCTCATTCGCTTGATGTCTATCCAGAAGAACCATGCAGAGAAGTGGAAAGTCAGGGCTCAGTGCCCACTGACCTCATCTGATCCTGTTATCCCATCCCTGTTACACTCTCCCTGGCTGGCATGAAGAAAAAATCTGTTCATATTAGGACTATCCTCCTTTAGAGCGTGATCTAACAGCAAGGACCCCGCAAGTAAGGGAAAATGAGGTGCCACGTTAGAAAGAAGCCCTTCGGCAGTGAGCACACACACTAGGGAACAATAGGAATATGCAGACAATGGGGTGCTAAAATCAGGAGCTAGAATGGCCAGCATCAGTCTCAGAAAAATGACAGGGTGGATAACTGAACTGCAAGGCAAAGCTGCAGATTGAATGGCGCTGTTTCTTCAGCACCTGCTCAGAATCCAACCCTTCCTGCTGGGGATCAGCTGAGCCTGTTTATTTTATATTAATTTCTCTCAAATGGGCTTGGGCCATGGATAGGCTGAGCAGGGGAGTCGGCACCCAGTCAGCTGCAGCAGCTCCCAGTTCAGTGTCAATTCAGGAGAGATGACACTTCAGGACTGGGGTTCTTGGGAGCTCTAGCTGGGCTTTATTATCAGAGGTGATTTGGCCATTCCAAACTTGTGCTGGCTACTTCATCCCCGACAAAGCAGCGTGTCTTCCAGACTGGCCTCCAGAGAGGGGGTCATTCACCCTCTGGTGTTCAGTGCCTCAATAGTTTGGTGCAAGAAATCAGAGGAGTGAGGCATTTTGTGTTGTGTGATTACAGATGCGTTTACTTGTGGCTGGGCCTGTTTCTGGCCTTCCTGGAGCAACACTATCCAGTCACTGTGGAGACTTTCTATCCCACACTGCCGTGTTTTGAGGGCTCACTATAAAGCATCTTCCAGGTCTTCCTGCAGTTACAGCCCCTACTCCCTTACCAGAAATAAGAAGGGACAAAATGGAGTGAACACGAAGCTGCACGTTATCTAGGGGAAACCTACCTACCTCTTTTAAACTGAGGGTAATCTTTGCCCTATCTACCTCAGTGTGTGGAGGGTACAATGAAGGTACAATGAATGGATATATGGAAGAGCTATATAATTGGACACCCATGAGGTAATATTTGATCTTTGTCTCCATTCCACCTTGGGCAAGCCTGTTTTACATGAAGCATGCTCTCAAATGATGCTTATGGGAAGTTATGGGCCTTGTTTGTGGGTGGGGCAGGGGGGTAAACCTTTTGAAGTACATCAAATTCCTAATAGTATCTTCACGGGACCCTTTCTCCAAAATCACAGTGAAGTCCTCCAAACTCCAGATGGAGGCAGCTCCTGCTAGACGGGGCTGAGCTCAGTGACAACAGCCAACACCCTGACCCTGCCACCCAGCCCCTGTGTTGCTGCTTCCCGGCATCACAGGCAGCAGCCAGGAAGCACACATCCTGCACCTAGTTAACCAAGCTTTGAGGAACGGCAACAGGTGGAGTATGGGCACAGCCCAGGAGGAGGTGGGTGGTCTGAGAACTTGTAATAGGGAGAAGTCAATTCACACCCTGATAGATATGGAGAGTGCTGAGTCTTTTGACAGGGGTCTTCCTGAAGACTACCAAAAGGGGAGAGGGGCTTCTAGGGAGAGTCTGGCTAAGATGGACTTGCGTGTGCCACAGGGCTGTTGTATTTAATAACTGGGGCTACCGTAGGGAAGAACTGCTGGTGAGCACCCTCCTTTCTCATAGCAGCCCTTCACCCACTTCCTTTAGTGACCCTTGGCCGTGGGCCTCTACCTACCTACCTATCCTCCCATTTCCCTTCCGCCTCCGAGCCCTTGCATTTTCCTACCTTCTGGCCAAGGCCTCCCCTTCCCTACCCAGTGACAGGGCTTGACCTCAAACCCACAGGGTTTTTTGTGCCAGCAATATACTGAAGACCTAGAGACAGTTGTGAACCACATAAAACATTGCTTCGCACAAGTTCCACTGCTGGCCATGAGCATCTCTTTAAGAGGGTAAAATTTGCCAGGCTTAATCCAGGGGCCCAGTCTTCCTTTATTTCTTTCCTCCTCCATGTCCTCTCCCTCTCCTCCTGTCCCAACTCACTAATGCAAACCCTTCTTTCCCAGCCCCTTGTCCAATCCTGCAGGATTTTGGTGCCAAACCACCTGGCACAGGCCAGGCAGGCTGCATGGGTGGTGGCAGCACTGACTCTTGTCTGCATGCTGGGATTCCTTTGAGACCACCCATTCCCTGAAGACCCCACTCAACTCACTGCTCTTCAGTCAGCCCCTCACTGCCAGGCTCTGCTAATTTGTGGGCTGGTAGGGTCTTTGCAAGTGGGAGGGGGCAGCAGGCAGGGTAGGATGGCAGATATGCCAGGCTCTCCCAGTGCTCATCAGGTCCCTGAGCTTTCTCACGCATGACATAAGACAGAGGTTGGGGTCTTCAGGTCAGGTTCAGGAGTCAAGCCAAACCCTTACGTACTCTTTTACAGAAACAGAAGTGTGGTTGAAAAGGTGGTGGACACAGACTTTGTGCTACAGATATAATTTCACCATCCCCCTGCCTCCCAAATGAATCTTTCACTGCTTTCCCATTCTGTGTCATCTTGCTCTATCCTACTTCCACCACCTGCAGGCCTGCACAACCCACCAGTTTGATGAGCGCTACATATCTTTGACCTTTGGATATCAGAATTGTGTTTCCTGGGCCGGCCCGGTGGCGCACTGGATAGTGCGCCGCTTGGGAAGCGCGGCGGCGCT